ATCTCTATTTGGAAACAAGACGGGTTTTGTCTCCTGCATCTGGGCCTGCCATCTTTGGCCTGAACATCTGGCTTGCTAGGAAAGTTTCAAAACACTTTGATGATTAATTTTCTGACAGGGTATATGATCGTCCCACACACTGGCCAGGGACCGAGAAGTCGTAACAGGTAAGGAAACTATAGAAAGGGGTTGAATCTGAATCTACCCATCTGGTGAACACCAGCCACTGTCTTAGCCGAGATTACATCTGTGCATGATATATATATTTTTAAAAACACTATTGTTTTAAAATGGCTTAATTTTATTGACTCAACACATGTTTTGATTCTGGAGCAAAAGAGAATAAAGGGTGCTTCTTGGACAGGTTTTCATACCTGGCTGGTTCTAAACATGTTTTTAAAAAGTCTTCTTGGGGCATCCTTATGAATTGGCAGAAAATTTTTAGCTTGGAGCAATAACTTGGGTAATTTGCCTTAAAAAGAAAACCCTCAACGAGGTGGAGATAATTCTGAATTCTTTTGCCTTTGAGGCTGGTTTCCGGGGGTGGAATGCAGAGCTACGAAAAGAAGAAGAGTGATCGGGGCTAGGGAAGGAAGGGGCGCCTGGCTCTTCTCGTTTCGTAGCTCTGTGTGCCTCCCTCTTTGTTAAAAGGAAGTGGGCGGGGTCCAGCACGCCGCCGCCATCTTGGGTGCTGGCGCGGAGGCAGGCCCGAGCGGCGCCATGTTAGGACCAGCGCCCTCTTTCGCGGCGGCAGCGGCTGCACATGGCGGGGTCTGAGAGCGGGGCGGCGGCGAGGGGTTTGCTGAATGGGGGCGACGGGGGCGGCCCGGAAGGGAAACGACCCCGGCTAGGGCCCACCCCGGCCTCCCCCTCGGGGCCCAAGCCGGGCAACCGCGTGACGGTGGTGCTGGGGGCGCAGTGGGGGGACGAAGGCAAAGGGAAGGTGGTCGACCTGCTCAGCCTGGACGCCGATCTGGTCTGCCGGTGCCAGGTGAGGAAACCCCCCCCCCTGCGAGTTTTGTTTTAAACACCATTAATCCAAATCAGGGCACGGGACTACAAAGCCCATCGTCCACAGCCCCGCCCCGCCCCCCCGCGGCGGGGCAGACGGTTGTGGCTCCCATTCTCTCCCTCTCCATACCTTCCCTCCACCGGCTGCCCTCGAGACTACAACTCCCATAGTCCAGGGACTCGAGACTACAACTCCCATCGTCTCCCCCCCACCTCCCTCTACAGTAGCGCGAAGAGAGACGGGACCCATCCATCCACCTGGAGGATGCAACGTGGGTGTGTGTGTGTGTGGATATTTGCACCCCATTTTGGGTGCAGGATTCTCACCCTGGACCTTTTGCAAGCCCGGGAATCGACCTTGATAAAGGCATTGATCGTTTTTCATCTGGGGCATCAGAAGATCAGGTTGGGCCTCTCTGATTCCCAGAGTTTGGGTTTTTTTTTAAAAAAGGGAAATTAATTAATTAATTAATTAAATTTATATCCCGCCCATTTAGACAACGTCTACTCTGGGTGGCTAACAAAAAAAAAGACTAAAAACAATCTAATATATCAAACAACAATTTAACAACAAATGCAATATCATTCAAGATGGGAAAATAGAAATTAAGCGGAAAGAATGTGTCAGCTACAGACGGAAATCCTACTATTTGTTCTTCATGAAGAAAAGGTTGGGTTTTTTTCCTCTTCTCTGCAATTAGGGGGTTGAAGTCAAGAAATCTGGAGAATCCGGGGGAAAAGTTAGGCAGGGGTTTCTGCAGGAAATTCCCGGAGAAGTGGCCCTGTTCGCCTGCCCCCCCACCCCATGGGCCAAAATTAAGGGCGGAAAATAACTAAATAAAGCAATAAATTGTAGGCCTTTCAAGCTAAGCAATTTATTTCAGTGTAAGATCAAAATCCACTCAATTCACGCTGAACGAAACCCGTTCAGTCTTTCAAGGGCTACGATATTTATTCATTTACTGAAACGTTTCCCCCTTTTTCTCTCCTTCTGCGTCGCTTTTGTTGGATAAAATGGGCGGCGGCAGATTTTTTTTTCCCCGAACCAAAAAGTTTATTCTGCTCCACCTTTCTTGAGGGATTCGCCTGCCCGTTAATCCTGCTTTACGAAACTCCCCCCTCCTGGTTCTGAAAGCAGTGTGGTCCGGACTGCTCTGCATCCCTAGTGATACCCCCTAGTTCAATTAAGACACTCTGCACATGCTTAGGGGTACCCACTCAGAGCCCGTTTGATATTTGGTATAGGTTGAAGGGGCAAAGTGGGACTTCCCAGATGTTATTGGGACTACATTTCCCATGGTCCTTGGTCAACATAGCCAAAGTATGGAAGTGGCAGCCTTTTGGAAGGATGAGATATGTTATGGAATAAGACAAAGATTTAGGGAATGATGATGGTTTCTCTGCGTTTTTCTCCCTGTCTTTTGATTTGGAAACATGTATGGAACAGAAGAATTACAGTGGTGCCTTGCTTGATGATTACCTGATTAGATGAGGAAATTGCTTGACGATTAGTTTTTTGCGATCGCTATTGCAATCGCTAAACGATGACTGAATGGGCTTTTTTTGCTTAACTTTGATCGGTTCCCTGCTTCGGGAACTGATTTTTCGCTTCAAAAACAGCTGATTGTCACTTTTCAAAATGGCTGCCCGCTGTGCAAAATGGCTCCCTGCTGTGCTTTAGGACGGATTCCTCGCATTACAGGCATTGGAAAATGGCCGCCCTATGGAGGATCTTCGCTGGACGCTGAAGTATTTCGCCCATTGGAACGCATTGAACTGGTTTTCAATGCATTTCAATCGGCTTTTTCGTTTTGCTTGACGAGGATTTCGCTTAACAGCGAATTGAACGGAACGAATTATCCTCATCAAGCGAGGCACCACTGTATGTGTTTTTTGGGGGGACAATCCCGCCCAATCTCTTACACCCCATCCCCAACATATTCTTTCTGTATTTTTACCCTTCTGCAGGGTGGCAATAATGCCGGCCATACGGTTGTGGTGGATTCAGTTGAATACGATTTCCATCTCCTGCCCAGCGGAGTTATCAACCACAACGCCACGTCGTTCATTGGTGAGAAACCGAGCACGTCGCTGCGAGAGGCAGCCCAAGGGCAGATGGACCCCCTTATCTGCGGGGTCAATATCCGCTGATTCACTTATCCATGGCCTGAAAATATTAAAAGAAAAATCCTAGAAATACAGATTTCTAAAGATGAAGTTACCATAACTGGCCACTAGAAAGAGCCAGAGACCATGCTATGTAAATACCATTAAAATAAGGTTTGCTATACTGTAATTCGAGTTTTTTTAAGCCTCTGCAGGGGGAGATTTGGAACCAATCCTGTGCAAATTCCCGTATCCACCCTCATTATGGGTTTTCTTCTGCCATAGGAGCTATATAGCCTATTTAGACATTAGGAACTGTGGCGAATATCCACACATGGTGCTAATCCTGCCACCCTTCCCTGGTTTCGTCACCATCAATGGGGGATGTTCAGGATTTGGGAGCCCTTCAAGCTCATCACCACTTTGTGGGGACGTGATAACAGAAGAATTTGGGCGGGAACTTTCTCAAATGCCCGAATAGGGCTTCTGGACACTGAATCGAAACACATGTCCGAAAGAGAAATATTCCCCTAAACTCTGGTTTATGTTTTCACAAGGAAGGCTGTGATAATGATATTTTCTTCTTCTTCAGGAAATGGTGTCGTCATCCACTTACCAGGACTGTTTGAGGAAGCGGAGAAGAATCTTAAGAAGGGGCCAGGTGAGTGGAGAAATCGCTGATCCTGCGAGCTACTCGTTCCTCTCTCTTCCGTACGGGTTGGGCCTCGTCTTGAGTCCGGCGTCCAGTTCTGGACACGGCACTTCAAGGAGGAGGATGACAAACTGGAGCCAGTTCAGAGGAGGGCCACCACGCTGATCAGGGGACTGGAAACCAAGGCCCAAGAGGAAAGACGGAAAGAACTGGGCTGGTTTAGCCTTGAGAAAAGAAAATTTCGGGGGTGATATTTATTTTATTTATTTGATTTATTTGATTTATATCCCGCCCATCTGGTAGGTCAGTACCATTTGGATAGCACTTTTAAAATATTTGAAAGGCAGTCCTGCAGAGGACGGGCAGGATCTGTTCTCCATCATCCTGGAATGCAGGAAACATAATAATGGGCTCAAACGATAGAAAGAGAGATTAACGCTGAATATCAGGAAAAACTTCCTAACTGTTAGAGCAGCACAACGATAGAACCAATTTTGGCTGAGACGATCTGAAGTGGAGCCATGTTTCGCCCGACCAAAGGCCTCTCTACCTCACGTTTGGCTTTTGCTGTTCTGGCCGCCACGGAAAAAATGAAAACAGAGACCAGATGGGAAAAGAAAGCGACTGAGGGATGGTTTACGTGGCACGTGTGAGGGACCCAGGCCCCCCTATTTTTGTCCCCATCACCCCACACAGCAGGATTTGCACCCAGTGCAGAAATTTTTTTAAACCCCTCAGGAATTATTTTAAAAAAATCAAAAACAGAAGGAACCTGGGCATCCGCTTCCCTTTTGATTTTTCGGGAGATTACGGGACTGCTCCATCACGACCTCTTCGGTGGGGGAAAGTCAATTAAGTGATTTCTAATTTTTTTTTCCCCTTGAGTCATGCCATCTTGGTAAAGTGTTGTTTGGAATTAATTGTTATAATTGTATTTTTTAAAATGATTTTATACATGTTATATTGCTGTGTTTTATCTATGTAAGCCGCCCCAAGTAGACATTGTCTGGAGGGGCGGGGTAAAAATCTAAGAAAGAAAGAAAGAAAAAGAAAGAAAGAAAGAGAGTGGCTGCTTCCGGGAGCAGAAAAAAGACATTTTTTCTCCCTTCCTACCTTCTCAAAAAATTTGTTTTTTAAAATAAAACTCTGGGAAGTCCATAGGAGCCGTGTGTGCAAAAATCCCTCGAGGATCTGTAAACTCACAAACGCTTCCCCTTTTCCCAGGACTGGAAGGCTGGGAATCTCGGACTGTGATTTCGGATCGAGCCCATCTGGGTGAGTTCCCACGTTTTCCCTCTTCTGGGGCCTGGAAAGAAGGAAGAGGGGAGGGCGTGGAAAGGGAAGCGGGGGGCACCCCACATCTTTCAACTTGTCTCCCTCTCTTTTTATCTCGGCCCCAGTGTTTAATTTCCACCAGGCGGCGGACGGCATCCAGGAACAGCAACGGCAGCAGCAGGCGGGCAAGAAGTGAGTAGGGCACCCGGGCACGCCAGCGATGTGGCTTGCCATGTTCCTCCCAAGTACCGGTTGAGAGAGAGGGTCTCTCCGTGTATGTGTGTGTTGCACATTTGCTGTGGCTCCGTGGCCTCCGTCTCTGGGGGTTCGATTCCTACCCACCCCCTGGAGAGGGGCTGGGCTTGATGATCCAGCTGTGCCGTTCCGTGACTTTTTGATTGATTTTCTTACGCTTGATGCGGTCCCAGTCTGGTTCAAGAAACAGAGACAAAGCAGGTTTCGAATCCGTGACTTAGCAGCCAGGTTCCCGCACTCCCTGTCCTACCTGACGACGTTTGTAAGGAGAAGAGCCGTGTCGCCCGTCTTGAGTTCGGGGAAGGCAAGAAGAGAGATATTAATAAAAATACTCATAGTCCGTCAAGTCAAGGCTGACTGGATTTATAATAATAGTAATCATGACTTGTCAAGACAATTCTGCCTTGCAGTGACTTTTTCCAGGTAGATAATATTCACAGAGGTGCTTTACCCTTCCCTTCCACTAGGGGGAGCCCTGGGACTGTGCAGCTTGCCCAAGGCTACCCAGGCTGGCTTTTCGTCCACAATGGAGGGAATCGAACTCCCAACTTCTGGCTCCACAGCCAGAGGCCTAAACCGCTGAATTATCCACACAGCTAAGAAGAGAGAGACACAAGACAAATAGGGAAACAACAGCAATCTTTGTCTATACTTGCTGGAACAAATGAGAGTTTGTTTTGGGACTACACTTCGCATCATTCTTTTGCTATGTTTGCAAGGAATAATGGGATGTGTAGTCCAAGAGTTGTCAAAATTTGGCCTTTCCTGTCTAGTTACAAATGCTGCTCTGGCACGGCCCTGCTCTCTAGCTATGTACTTTTATTTATTTTTTTTAAAATGCTTTTTAAAACAAGATGTCCTGGAAGGTCTATGATCAGAACAGGTTCCTCTCGCTCTCCTCTGTGTGCGTGTGAAGGAGAGTGATTCCTCTGCGTGTGTCTCTCTCTCCAGGAGAGCCATTCCTGCCAAGAGGGCTCACGTCCCTTTGCTTTTCCCCGCAGCCTCGGCACCACCAAGAAGGGGATCGGCCCGGCGTATGCCTGCAAAGCCTCGCGGACCGGCTTGCGCATCTGTGACCTGCTGGCCGATTTTAATGAGTTTTCTAAGAAGTGAGTAGATGGGTGGGGGAGACGGGAGGGAGAAATGGCCTCGGGGATCGGGCTGCGTATGTGTGTGTCTGAGCCTGGACTTTTAAAGATCAGCATTTCCACGGGTCCATCAGTAAATGCTATGAGATGAGTCCACGGGGCCTTTTTTGCTGTGGCCCCATCTATGCCTTCAGTACACTACTGTCGTGCCTCGCTTTACGATTGCCCCACATTACAACGATCTTTTTGCGATCGCAATTGCGATCGCAAAACGATGGTCTAAATGGGTTTTTTTCGCTTTGTGATGATTGGTTCCTTGCTTCGGGAACCAATTCTTTGCAAAATGATGATTTTAAAACAGCTGACCAGCTGTTTCAAAATGGCCACCGGGTAAACAAAACGGCTCCCCACTGTTTTCTGGGACGGATTTGTCGCAGTGAAAACGGCTGCCCTATGGAGGATCTTCACTGGAAGGGGAGTTTTGACCCCATTGGAACGCATTGAATGGGTTTCAATGCGTTTCAATTGGTTTTTTTCGCATTACGATGTTTTCGCTTAATGGCGATTTTCCTGCAACGGATTATTGTCGTTAAGCGAGGCACCACTGTAACGCTGCCTTTGGGTAGGATTTTAAAGGCTTGGCCTTAAATCCAGCCCTTGGTCATGACGAGACCCACAAAATCAATCAAGTATTTATTTATTTATTTATTATTGGATTTTTATCCCGCCCTTCTAGACAGAAGTCTACTCAGGGCGGCGCATAGTTTATTGTGCATAAACAAGTTAAAAACAACAATTAAAATCTACAGTAATACACTAATCAAGATGGGAATAAACGGGAAAATCAAGAAAAGTAAGTCAGGTAATGGCAGGAGGGAAGGTAGTGTTAGATGGACATGTAAGGATCCTGTTGATTTTACGCATCTCTTTTATTTATCTTTTTTCCCCTTAACTTATTTCCATGCAGACCTTTAACCTTACACAAGGTGGCTTGCAATAAAGAACACAATGAATTGTAAAATTAGAACATCATGGAGCTGAGCATCCCGTTGGAACAGGCACCATCATTTTAAAACTTTTTTAAAGTTCATGCAGTAAACAATGTAACCTGTATAAAATTCCTCTACCTAGGAATTAGCATTTCTAAGGAGGACATTAACAGAACTGGCCACTAGAGGGAGACAGAGACCATTGCTATGTGTAGTGTTTGCTGTTATAAATAATATTTGCTGCTATCTGCATTTTCCAGCATCTGCTTGGGGGGGGGGGG